TGCCAGTGCCTTGCCCAGGGCCACCCAGCATGAGCTACACAGCAAACCGTAGTTGGCTGCTACTTGTGCTGGGCTTGGAGGTGCCCAGGAGAGGCCAAGCTATGAGCCAATGCAGCTGCCGCTAGTGCCAGGCCTGGTGCCGCTTATCAAGCTGTATGGGGCCGGCTGCTGCTTGTTTGAGATNCGTCCCTCAGGGACAGTCCCTGCTGGTTTCACAGCCCAAAGGTGTGGGGACTTCTCTTCCCTGCCCTGGGGCCCTGGGCTGGGGCCTGCTGTGGGGCTGGGACCCTTCACTCTTCTGGGAAGCCTCCGCCCCCAAGATGCCCTCCCAGGTTTAACTTGCGGCACCGGGTGTGGGCCTGCGGCCGCCTCTCAGAGTTTCAGCCCTGACCCGCCCNCGGCTGTGTGCGGGGAGGACTCACCAAAGGAGCCATGGCCTCCGCCAGCCCTTCTGCCTGGGAGGAAGCCGCCCCCCCACCTCTCATCCGGATCTCAGGCAGGTCAGTTCCTCCCCAAGTGTCCCAGGTCCTTTCCGGCCGCTCCCCGGCGCTGGGCTCAGAGGGAGCGTCCGAGTGAGTCCGTGCCGGGCCCTTTAGGAGGAGCTGCTGGGGCTCCCGCAGCCTCCGAGTCCCTCAGGGACAGTCCCTGCTGGTTTCACAGCCCAAAGGTGTGGGGACTTCTCTTCCCTGCCCTGGGGCCCTGGGCTGGGGCCTGCTGTGGGGCTGGGACCCTTCACTCTTCTGGGAAGCCTCCGCCCCCAAGATGCCCTCCCAGGTTTAACTTGAGGCACCGGGTGTGGGCCTGCGGCCGCCTCTCAGAGTTTCAGCCCTGACCCGCCCGCGTCTCTGCCCCTCCTCCTGGTCTCGATGCTTCTTCAGTTCCCTGGTTGTAGGGCTTCTGTTCAGCTGGATTCCAGGGGGTTCTGAGTGATGATGGCAGTTCTGTATTTTAGTTGTAATTGCGGCGGGTGCAGCTGTTACCTACGCCGCCATCTTTGTTTCTCCCTGTATTGCTTTTCAAGTGATGGATTTTTTCTGTGTTGCTGCTCCAGTCACAATTGTGTAGCTTTGGGACATTGAAAGTTGGAAGTAAGGTTGTAATGTGTGACCATGGGAAGAGCAACACCAGCCCCCTGTTTTGAAATTGAACCTAAAACTATTACTGTGAGCTGACCACTGACTGGCATTGATGATGTCATTGTGGCGTGCAATCCTCATGTGACATGCAATCCTCATGTAACGTGCAATCCTCATGTGATGTGCAATCCTCATGTGACATGCAATCCTCATGTGACGTGCAGCCTTGACTGGGCACGGAAAGGCGACCTGGTTGACCAGAGTGTAGGCCTCAAATAGGTGACTGGGGAGCATGGAGCTCATTGCTGTCATGTTTGTCCATTTAACTAGTCTGCAGTATAGTTTTTCTAGTGAAGTTTTCCTAAAAAATATTTATTGAATACATTAGTGAAATCATTATTGAGTTTTTTTAATCCTCACTTGAGGATATATTCTTATTGATATTTTAGAGAAAGAGGAAAGTGGAGAGAGAGACAGAAACATCGATTGGTTGCCTCCCGAACGTGCCCCACCCGGGATTGAACCCCACAACCTTTTGGTGCCCAGGAGGACACTGCAACCAACTGAGCCACCCGGCCAGGATGAAATCATTATTCTTCGTGGTGTATTTAGTATTGGAGATTAGCTGACTGGAGTTTTCTCCTAAGTTTTCAATTCAGTTCTATGGTCCTACCTTATTGTTTGTATGTGCTAGAAAGTCTGGAATATTCTAGACTTTGGGTAAAATATGCAAGCATAAAATTAAGCAGAACTCTCAGTGGTGCTGTTTTAAAGCTTCTATTTAATAGTAACAAATCAATAATTTATTATGAGAAACTGAAGTACTCTAAGATTTCTTAACAAATCTGTTCTTTAAAATGGGAGTTATTTTAAACATTAAAAAAAATCCTACATCACACTTGTTAGCATTTAATTAAAATTGCTAAATACAGATGCTCCTTGACTTATAATGGGGTTATGTCCCAATAAACCCATCGTAAATTGAAAATATTATAAGTTGAAAATGCATCGAATACACCCAATCAAATGTGCTTAGAACACTTATGATAGTCAAAAGTCNCAATAAACCCATCGTAAATTGAAAATATTATAAGTTGAAAATGCATCGAATACACCCAATCAAATGTGCTTAGAACACTTCTGATAGTCAAAAGTAAGGCACAATCATCTAATACAAAGCCTATTTTAAAATAAAGTGTTGACTATCTCATGTAATTTATTATGCATATGGTTTTTGTGCCATTGTGACTTCAAAAAATCATAAGTCAAACCATTGTAAGTTGGGGGCAGTCTGCGTGCAATAGGGGTCTGTGTTAGTTTCAATAATGTAATAATCCTGTTATACCTGTAATATAATCAGTTTTTTAAAAAAGTTAAAAAAAACTCACTGGAAAGACTCACAGCACTTATTGTTAATATTTCTTCTGGATGTCAAAATATGTAAAAAATGGGCACACATGCTCACAAAGTTGCTGAATTACAGAATTACAAAATTACAGAATCTTAACATTTGATGAATCATCAGAGATCATCAAATTGAATTCACTTTACAGAAGGAGAAATAGAAACACAGCTTTTTTTTGGAAAAAAAAAAAGTACATTTATACAAACTTGAGAAAATTTTTCCATAAAAATCTATTTTTGACATTGAGAAAAATGTTAATACTGAATTTGAAATAAGTAGTTTCAAAAATATAAATCTTGGTTTAAAATTTTAATGCCAATATAGTGAAGTTTTGCCTATTTAGGTTCATTTCAATAAAATGCAGTTTATCTAAATGTTTTTCAGGAAAGATTTTGCAAGGACAATCTTGACTGTGGGTGGTAAGAAATGTTTAGCATTTTAAATATGAAAATATTAAATATTGGACATTAGGGGTTTTATGAGCATCTTGGAACTATGGGAAATAAATTATGGCCAAACTGAAAATAGGAATTAGGATATGGTTTGTCATTTATTATGAGAATTTTCAGCATGTTGAAAACCATAAAGAGTAATTAATGAATGCTCATTTACTCACCAACCAGCTTCATCCAATTTTATTATTTTGCCACATTTGTGCTCTCACGCCCCCCTCCATTGGTAGATGTAATCTTTGACTTGTGTTTTTCATTCCTCAGTATATATTTTTTTACTTTTACACTATGTATTCAAAAGAAACATACATTATTGTTTTGCAAATTTTAAAAGCATTTTATAAATCTCATTCTGTTGTACATATCCAGCTGCAACTTTCTTCTTATCTTTAAAACTATTTGAAATTTAAACATGTTGGTATATGTAGTTTTTATTTACCTGCTATGAAATACCACAATCTTGAGATTTAATTTTTGTAGTAGAAGTGTTTTCTAAAGGCTATTTGATGAGCTGCTTTTGATGAATGTTTTAATATATATAACATAAAATGCAGATATATTATTTATTTAAGATCTGTTACATGCTGTTTAGACCTACTGTTTAGGTGTTCTCCTACTATTTCTTAAATATTGAATTTAAATGATTATAATTACTCCAGGATACATCTTGCTGCTTAAAAGACACAATACTAGGCTCCTAAGATGGAATTTCTTAGAGCAAATGCTGATCTTTGGAACTCATTTCTTCCTTTGCTTTGAGCCCAGAATTACCCATGTTTTTAATCTCTAGATTACAACCAGCAGGTCTCTCTTTCTGAAGCATTGTGTAGACTGACAACTAAAACATCAAGGAATGACCTTGTCCGTCAGTGGTTTGAAGATGATGTCATTGCTGAAGCTTTCAAAAATATTAAGGATCGTGAATTTGAGACGGTGTGATTCCTGGTCCTCAAAATCCCATCTAATTTGTACTTATTAAGCATTCTCTTAGTACTTTCCTGGGCTCAGGGGAGGGTTTTTTTTCCCCCCTTAAATATGATTAAGTTGCCATTCTTGAACTTTTCGTTTCCCACTTATGTGAAGCAATTTGAGGACAGTACAAACAATATTGTAGGTCAAATATGGGGATACAGGCAGGACTTCTTTATGGGTAACGTAGAAATGACCTATGTGTGAATTTAATGGATTCAGTCAGAGAAAATGTGAGGCAGGGGAACAGCTTTTCAAGGAAACTTGAAGAGTTGGAGGAGTAAAGAAAGTGAATTTCAGCCTTGCAGAGAGCAGCCGGTGTAATAACGGGAGGCTGTTAATTGGCACCCTGTGCGGTAGTGCTGGAGGAGTATTATGGGTGTTCGTGTTGGGAGCCATTGAGCTGCTCCAGTTTGGAGGAACAATAATTTTCAGTGTCTCCCATGAGCCTGGGTTCACTGCAGTTGTCTTCTCAAGTTGCACTAAAATAGCTGATGGTTTTGTTGCATACTCACCTTCATCTTAAAGTAGCTAAAATGTTTTCCCTCTTGGAAAAAGTTCTGAAAATGAGGGTTAGATACTTAGGGAAGGGAAAAATTATTTATAACTGTGTTCATGTTGAACTAGGCTTTTTGGTTTGAATGGCTGTGCAGTTGGGATTCTATTAATCCTCAATGAGGATATTTTCTTCCATTGATTTTTAGGGAGAGTGGAAGGGAGGGAGGGGGAGAGAGAGAGAGAGGGAGAGAAACATCCATGTGAAACAGACACATCAATCTAATCCATTGCCTCCCGCACATGCTCCGACCAGGGTCCCGGGGCTAGGGATCAAACCTGCAACCCTGGAATCGAGCCTGTGACCCTTTGGTGGGCAGGCCGATGCCCTAACCACCGAGCAACACCAGCCAGAGCTAAATATATTATTAAATATATTATATTTGACTCTGAGCCTATTGCCAGACCTGTAATAGTCAGGATTCAATTTGATCTAAATGGAAAGACCATGAGCCCCTGGAGTGCCACCTCCCTGATTTATAAGTATTTTGATATTTGCATTTTGGCAAGTTGACTTTCGAGAAACCCAAGTGTCCTCATCTGTAAAAATGGAAATGAAACTGACCTCAACACTGGGAGAATTAAATGAGAGAAAATGAAGGTGCCAGGCATGCTGTAGACACCCAGATATTAGTTTATTTTCTCCTCCGTGGTGTTCTCTCATCTGCATGGAAATTTGATGGAAACAGGACAAAAGTAATTATCTTGGTTTTCAAGTCATACCCCACACCCTAGAGTCATCAACTCCTTAATCGAACCACTTTTATATTAAGGCTTACATTACTGTTGTCTATTTAGTGCTGAATGTAGGCATGGAATGTAAGGACTGAGTACAACATCCAGTCCTTCCAACTAAAGGGACAAAAACCTGGATCAGAGTAGAGTCTCTTTGGCTTTTGAATTTTGGAGGCAACAAATGTACCTTCCTAATAGATGTTGGATAGGAGAACTCTAAAAATACTCTTTATTTTTAGAACATACACTGGGAGAGAAAACCCAGGAAGTAGTGGGGTAGAGTATTCTGGGTAAGGAAAACTGGCAGGTGATAATATACCCAGGTAAACCCAAAGTCAATGAGTTTTATGGCTTTGTGGTTGGCTTGTGCTGGGCAGATGTTAGGGAGATGGATACCCAGTGGGTTAGTCAAATATTGTCATCCAGCTCATCAGTAAGATGTATTTCTATTCCCTTCTAACCAAGGGAAACATAATTGTACATGTAACTACACTTCCCTCAGCTGAAAATCTCCTGGTTGGGGGATTCCTTCTAGAACACAGATCTGGAGCCTCCTTTTTGTGACACAAAGTATTGTTTTAGTTAACATATAATATTGAATCCTCATGAAGCCTGTGATATTACTAGATCTTGGAAATTTAGAGGCAAACACTGGCCTCTGCATGCTGGTGAGGGTGGTACTATTTAAGACATCTTGATGTTCTGTTAAAAAGTTTGCATTATTTACTTTGAAGGACAGTAGACTGTTTCTCAATTACCTAAACAACAGACTTGGCGACCAAAGAAGGTAAGATATTTCTCTGAGCATTATTTTATTGACTAGCTTATTCTGAAAAGATCTAATATCAGAAAAATCTAGGATCTGTTTTATTTTATTTTAGGACAGACTATAGGATACATAATTTACTGAGTACTACTGAGTTATCCATTGAGTAAAAAACTCGGAAGATTAGAGATATTCTGCCTATTCATTTGTGTGTTTAAAAATAATCTCTATCAGTCTTTTAGCGTATTTATGATTTGGAATATTTCTAACAATCTTCTGGGAAGATTTTATGAGGCGTGATTTCCTACAGACTTGAGGTCACTAGAGATAGGTGTATTATGGACAGTAAATCCTTGATGAGAAGATATTTGCTAAATTCACTCCTTTTATTGGGAATTTTGCCAAGCGACTGGGCAGAGATAATAGTACCAGTAAACTTGGCTTGTAGACTGCCAGATCGGAGACTTGAAATTTAGCCACAGTAGATCTCCATTTGCAGGTCTGAGATCCCTTTTCATACCTTGTACAAAGAGGCTTGATGGCGTGCCCTAGTTATAATTGCCTGTTTGTAGAACACCTGTAGGTTGGGCTTGGGTTCCATCCATATTTTTACTTTTTAATTGTGAAGTGTTTTACAGGGTCTATTCATTTCCGTGTGTTGCTGCTTTTGCTGATGGGCATGAGGTATGTTTGTATTTCTTGGGGGCCGTGAGGGTGGTGTGTAACGAAACCCATGGTTAGGTTTACTTAGGCCATGCTGCTCTTGCTACTCAGAAGGGCTCTTTATAAAAGGAAGCCCACTTCTTGTAGAGGCCTCAACTCTGAAGCTCATTGTCCCTTTCCCCATCTTTCATACTGTAACTGGGGTGCATTACCAGTAAGTTTAAGTATCCTACTGTTACTACTAGATCAACAGATTTTAGGGCATACAGGTGCACATGAGGTCAATTACAGGAGCCTAGCCTTATTTTACTCTGTTAGTAGTTAACAATATTCATGTCTAGATAAAGGGAAAAGGGCAATTTTCTACACAGTTGATGCTTCCTACTCCATCCCCAGCACTTGGGGGCACTTTCCCTTTTTTCTAGATAATTCTAATTTGTACTTTATAGTTCAAAATTGAGCAACCTCTTTCTACTACTTCCTTTGGTTTCCAGAGGAACAAGGTCCTTCATGTAAAAGTGTCCCAACCTGCAACATCTCAATTTTGGTGTAAAATCTTCAAAGATCTCTGAACCTTGACTCTGTTGGCGGTTTCCTGGACCATGTCCTCAGAATGTCCTAATAAACCATTTCTTTGTTTTGGATTCAGAACCCCCTTCTAGGCCTCTGTGAACTACATCTGCAACTCATGATTACACTACAAATTTCTCTCTAGAATTGGTTTTGGTAGCTTGATTCCTATATCTAAATTCTATTTTTCCTTCTAATTATCTGGGGAGTCCAATCTCTGTTTGGTTTGTCTTCTTTCTTGGACTTCTGAATTTCTATCAGCTACAATCAGGGCCCTTACACTGGCTTCCAGGAACAAATTGTGGGTTAAAACCTTTATTCAACTCGATAGATATAAGAAAGTTGGTATGTGTGATGGAAAGGTGTCCAAGAAATACTATTTATTGGAAAACCAGGTGTAGAATAGTAAGTCTAGTGCTTGCTTCATTGCTGTGGAATAAAGACTCTATATGTCCTGATATATGTCTACAACAGGTCTGGGAGAAAACAAAGACATTGTCAGTGGTGCCTATGGGAAGTCAGGGGGCAGAGAAGGAGATGTTTGCTGTTTCTTTAAACACCATACTGTTGGACTCTTTCTCTTTACTATAAGCATATTATATTTTATAATAATTAAAATGAAGAGTATTTGAAATCTTTAAGTCTTAGCTCTGTTCTAATAGATGATAAGTTAAAAGGCAAATAACCACTTATATTTGGTCCCAGTACTTCCTTCGCTAGAAGTTTCCATCCATACACACCGTGGACTGTTACTGCTGAAACATAGAATTGCTGTCTCTGTGACTTCACTAGGAAAAAAATTTGTGTGGACAGAGTCATCTGGCACATGTGAACATCTATTAAATAGTAAGGGATAGTGGGTCATTTTTTTCCTTCAGAAATAGCTTAGTTGTATAAAACCAAGGCCTCTCTTTTGTTTTGCAAAAATTAGTAAGGCAATAAAAAGGACACCCTATAATATTGGGGTAGTGTTTAAGAAAAAGCGGAACTTCTGTTTTTAATGAGAAAATTTTCATCTGACCCTTTGACATGATATTTCTGTGTATAATTTATGCTGAAATTATTTCTTACAGATGAGAAAACCAGCAGATGAAAAATTAGAGGAATTTTGGATTGATTTCAACCTAGGAAGTCAGAGTGTAACTTTTTATATAGATAATACCAAGGTAATTACATTTGATTTCTGTTTAAAAGCACTTAGAGATTGTTCATATGCAAGTATGTGTTATGTGCTCATGAATTTCACTTATTTTTTTCCCCAAGAGTGCTCTGTGGGATTCAGTAAGACTTTTGAAGGAAGCAGTGATTAATTTCAGCATAATAGGTAAGATGATAAATTATCAGAGTATTATTTCTGTTTATAGTTGCAGCATACACTTAGTTAATTATAGAGTAGACTTTGTGCCTTAGAGTGGACATGTGGTGGAAGGAGCACTGGGCCCAGGACCGGGATGCAGGGGTACAAGACTGGTGACTCCTTCGCTTTGTGACTTTGGGATTCAGTTACTTGCCTGGCTTTCTCACTGTAAAAATGATTTAGTTTTTTAAAAAATGAAAAGTAAAATTACTGTGTGATCCAGCAATTCCATTTCTTGGTATATATCTGGAATAATTGAAAGCAGGACTTGAAGAGATATTTATACACCCCTGTTCATTGCAGAGTTGTCAAGAGGTAGAAGGAACCTAAGTGCCTATCAGTGAATGGATAGATAAACAAAAATGGGGTGTATACATACAGTGGAATATTATTCAACTTCAAAAAGGAAAGAAATTCTGACACATGCAACAACATGGATGAACCTTGGCATTACTCTAAGTGAAAAAAGCCAGCCATGAAAGGACAAATACTGTGTGATTCCACTAATATCAGGCATCTGAAGAAGTCAACCTGATGGAAATGGTAGAATGGTGTTTACCAGGGTCTGTGGGAAGGGAAATAGGGAGCTGTTTGATGGGTACAGTTTCAAATTCACAAAATAAAAATGTCCTGGAGATCAGTTGTACATATATACATATATATATATATATATATATGTATATATGTATATATGTATATATATACACACACACATATACACACACACACACACACACACACACACACACTAACAATATATACCAACACTATCAAACTGTACACTTAAAAATGGTTAACATGGTAAATATTATTTTTTGTACCATAATTATAAAAAAGAAAGATTTAGTGCCTGTCTTTCCCTTCCCACAGATTTAGAGCAATTGTCAATGAGTTTATGTGGGTATGTGCCACCTGTATCTGAATACCATCCCTCTGACTCCACCCCTTAAACCTCTGTGACTCACCTTTCTTCTCAGATTGATAGATAGGGCTGAGGGGCATGAAATCAGGAGTGATCCTTTTCTGGGTGGCTGCAAGTAACCTGTTATTCCAGTTCAGCATTTCAGCTATAATCATACTTGAACATCAATCAGGATTCCTGAATTGGGTCTTTAAAAAACAGAGGGATGTTAGGAAGGTGGGGGGAGGTAGAAGTGGACAAAGGAGGGATAAATGGGGATGAAAGACTTTGGGTGGTGAGTACACGATGCAGTCTGCAGATGATATTTTGAATTGTACACTTGAAACCTGTATGGCTTTACTAACCAATGTCACCCGAGTAAATCCAATAAATAAATAAGTTATAAATGAACAACAACAACAAAATAATAAAGTGACATTTTTGCAAATAACAGTATATATAACATTTTTCCAATAATTGTGTTTAGTAAAGATTTAAAATGAAATGTTATGTGATTATATGGATATTATACTTCACTTCTTTCCACAGAGGGTTTAGGTCAGCTTGCATAATTATTCCAGAATGACAGAAATGGAAAATTGGAACCACAGACAAGACTAAAAATGTCTGTCATGAAGGCTAGTATAGTCCGACGTGGAGATTCAGATTTGGTGCTTAGCTTCTTGAAAGCAGGGTGAAAAGTGAAACATAATCTGTAACACAATTCTTTCTCATCATACAAATCCTGGAGAGAACAAATTCTTCCTAGCCTTGAACTCTAACCGAAGGTTCTCCCCTGGGACCACTTAGGATAAGGTAATCCTTCCTCAGCCCCGAGCTCCCCTTGCTGGAATTTTTTGTGTACATGAGCTAACTTCATTATTCTGTTAAATGATAACTTTTGAAAAGATGAAATCATGATCCTCATATAAATATTAAGTGAATGTGAGTTGAAGATTTTATTTAATTCACTAATTAATAAGGAAATCAGTGAGATGTAATAACCAGTTCAGAGGAGAATTCAAAACCCCACATATATAAGCAACACTGAAATGAACTTACAAATAGATTTAAAACTAGACAGTTGCATTCACAGATACAGTTAATTTTAATTTCTAGGGACAAGAATAATTTTTATTATTATCAGTTTTCTACAACTCATAGATTTGTAAAATTGCTCAGAGACAATGAAAAGTGCAGATAACCCAGAGGGGATTCTAGAGAGGCACCCAGGAACTTTTTGGCTCATTTCAGTATGTTTCACAGTTTTCTGTATTCTTCTCAGTGCTTGTGAGAATTTGTTCTAATGTGCAAGAATTTTTACTTTCTCCTTTAGGATGTTGTCAGGAAAAGAGGGAAACTTTAGGATGGGTAGGTGAGGCAGTAAAGCACATGGCAGAAGAGGAGGAGAGACTTTTCCAGTGAAGCTGTGGGGGAATGAAGGAAAAGATGAAGAGAAGGGAACCTAGATTTTGGAGCTATAGGCATAGCAACCACAGTTACCATATGAGGAGCCGGGCAGTTGGAAGCACTGAGAGAGAGTGTAAAAGAAAACTGTATACTCACAACACTTCTGACACCAGAATGTATAGAGTTTTTCTCACATTATCGGTTCTGATGGTAACTACCTGGAGATAGCACAGACCCCACAGGTTGAGAGTTCAGTTCCATAAGACTCCCCCCACTAATCTTAAGTTCCAGTGTTATCAGAGAGCTGCTTGAGTTGAAGGGGCCTCTCCCCTCCTTGACTCTTGTCACACTTGTGGAAAAGAATTCAGACGAGTGACAGAAAGCAGTGTTGAAGCAAACCAAGTGAATTCATTAAGGAAGGAAAGCAAGCAAATTTATTAAGAATACACTTGGCATAACACACAAGTGGGCAACTCAGCTAGTCTGAGTGCCCCACCTGATGGGGGTTCAAGGGTTTTATACTTTCTCCCCTATAGCTTTCAAGGTTCCCCTGCCAGATAGACTAGATTTCAAGTACCCCTTTTACATTGTTGCAGCTTTTCCCAGAATTTATGAGAACATCTGGTGGTTTTATCTTGACAAGTCCCAAGAGTGCTGACTTCCTTGTTCAGTGGGTGAGATAAACTCCCCTTTTTCCCCTCCCTTTTCCCTCCTTCTGCCCTAGTAGCTATATATCCTGCCACATTCCTCCCTCAAGTGACACCATCCAAATGCTTTTGGGGTTTTTATTATTTGTTCCCCAGACTTCATCTGGTCTTGGGTTTAGCTGGCACAAATGTCATTAATTGGGTCTTTGTTCTCTATTTTCCCAAGTCAGGGTGATTTAAGCTATGTATTCTCTGGTTAAGGAGGAAAGGTATAAACCATTTACTCTCAAGTGTCCTTGGTTGGGGACGATAGGTCTTGTGATTGACAAGCAGGCTGCATGTTGCCTAAACTGTTTGGCCTTGTTTAATTTTCTTGCCTCAGTTTCCTCATTCCACTTGCCCAGGAATTTTCCTAGCTTCCTATTGTCCTGCCACACCAGGTGGCAACCTGTACTTCTGACCAACTAGCTACAAATTGAGGGTTCCTGCAGCCTCCTTCTCAAGTTTGATAATTTGCTATAATGGCTCACAGAACTGGGAGAAACACTTAAGTAACCAGTTTATTATAAAGGATAATATCCTTTATTATTGTTTTCTTAGTTTAAGTTCCTGAACTCCAAACCTTGCTCCTGTAATCATTTGCAGGAACCAACTTGCCAAAGTTAATATTCTATATACTTCATTAATATATCACATTTCTGTGAGACTGTAATTTACAAAGTGCCTCACAGCATCTGAAGGAGATGGGTATTATTTTCTATTTTTATAGCCAAGGAAACTGAAGACTGTAGCAAACTCTCCAAACAACACCTTAGTTTCATATGCAACTTCTTGCTAAGGAATTGGCAATGTTTTAGTAGTATGTTGAGTGCTTGGTGCAGCCCTCAGGTAATTTCTTCTGACTCTTGTATGTCCTTGTATGTTTGTATTGAGCTCTACAGCCCAAACAGATGTTTACTTTTTTAGATATTGTTTGAATGACTTCGGTTACAGTGTTTCATAGATGTTTCCTACAGTGATTAGATGTCCAGTAAGATTAGTGTTTTGGGGGGTTGCTGAGCTTTTCTCTAGGCCAAAACTGTCCTATAAAAACATAGTGTGAGCCACATATTTAATTTAATATTAAATTTTCATGTAGCCACATTAAGAAGTTTTTAAAATGGACTTATTTTAATAATATACACTTAACCCAATGTACCTAAAATATTTACATTTCAATATGTGATTAACATGAAAAATTGATGAGACATTTCACTTTCTCTTTGTTTTTGTACTAAATCTTCACAAACTGATGGTATTTTATGCTTATGGTACACTTGGATTTGCTCTAGCCATATTACAAGTACTCAGTAACAACAAATCTAGATGTAGGCGTGTCTCACTCTTTTTTCCTCTTTCCATGCTCATCAAATTGGGCTGTTAGCTTTGCCTACTCTTTCATAGATTTTTCCTGTTGCTTCCAAATCAGTGTGTACTTATGGTGGCTTATTTTTGGACTCTCCTTGAATTTTGGTCTAAGTCAACAATTTTCAACAATTTTCATCTCATGGCACACATAAACTAATTACTAAAATTCTGCCGTACACTAAAAAATATATTTTTTGTTGATTTGACAAAAAATAGGTATAATTTTGACTGATTTACCGAAAAAAAAAAAAAAAAAGCAATTACCTACAGTTTTTGCTTCAGTGACTTTTTAAAAAAAATTAGGTGCCTATACTTGTATATAAGGATTTCTGGTACCAAGAATTAACTAATTAGATGCAACCAATTAGATGTGACCAATAAGATGGAACTCTATTATATGACCTATATATTTATGGTTCAAGACAGGGCATTCACACTGGACGGCTATTGTTGTGTTGGCCGTTGTCATTTATTTATTTCACAATCTGATGGAAAAGAGATCAGTGCCTCTGACTAAATAGTTAGGTATTGCATGTTTTACAAATTCTTGTGGTACACCGGTTGAAAATCGCTGGTCTAAGCTATTTTCTGTTCTAAAACAATTACTATTTGTCAGTAAAGGGCTGGTGTCCTGGAAGGGGCCCTCAAGGAGACTGTAGTCTGAGAAACAGGCCTGTATCTAGATGTTTCCATTTCTCCTCTTTAAGTGGAGGCTATTGATAGGAAGGTAGATTATTCCATTTTGCATATTGCGAACAGTGACTTTTAATTTGAATTTTAGAAATAAGTGGAATCTGGAAGAGAGAAGGAATGAGAGTGAATGTTGTGCTTAATATATTGGAAAGTAAAATACCTGTTGCATATGATAGCTTTGTATTCACAGAATGCTCTGAAAAATGGATTAAGTTTTAGAAGACAAAAATATCTCCATTGCTATGCTGCTAAGATTACTTTCTATTTCTGCCAGATTAACCACTTAATCATATTGTGTGTGTGTCTGTAAACACACATGTGAATCTAATAAAAATAATTTTAAAGTAACTTTTAAAAATATAATTTCTTTTCAATTACTCATTGCAGAAAAATCTGGACAGTTGCCAAATATCTCAGAGCACTTATTTAAAATGATAAGACTTTAAAATGCAAATTTTCAGTGTGTTGATATGCGTTGGTATATTTTATTTTTTTGCTAGAAACTGAAAGGAAGAAGATGCTCATCATTTACTTGAAGCCTATTAATATCACAAACAGAGAAGTGAGGAAAATAGAAATCCATTTCGATTTGCAATTCAACATATCACAAGCTTCCATTAAAGCTTTAGGAGAAGACAAACAGGTGGCAGGTTTAATTCTCTTTAATTATTTGACTGTGTTTTAGTATGTTTTCATGTCTCTTAAATTTCCATGTTGGTTTTTTTTAATTGAAATATAATTGACACGTAATATTATACAGTCCTGTGTTTCATAACAACGTTTTGGTCAGTGATAGACTACACAGATGAGGGCAGTCCCATAAGATTATAACGGAGCAGAAAAATTCCTGTCCCCTCGCGACGTTGTAGCCCTCATAACATCATCATAGTGCGATGCATTGCTTCTGTGGTTTGTGGTGATGCTGCTGTAAGCAAGCCTACTGCACAGCCAGTTGCATAAAAGTGTAGCACAGATGCAACAAGCAACAGTAGTGTTCATTTATGATGATGATAGCAAGCAACAGTGTTCATTTATGAATTTACTACACTATATTTTTTATCGTTTCTTTAGAGTACTCGTTCTCCTTATTAAAAAACATGTTTGCTGTGAAACAAAACAGTATGCTGTGTTACACTGACAGTAACCTCGTACATCTGGTGTTTACTCTGCCTTTTAATTGCATCATTTTATATGTTGTTTTATACAGTAACATGCTGTCGAGGGCTGCGGCCTAAAAGCAATAGCTATACCATATGGCATATTTGTGTAGTAGTTTATACCACCTAGGTTTGTGTAAGTGCATTTGATGATGTTCGCATAACATCAACACCACCTAATGATGTATTTCTCAGAACATATCCCCGTCATTAAGTGGCGCATAAATTAATCCCCGTTATTAGTTTCAGGTGTAAAACATAATGATTCAATATTTGTGTATGTAGCAAAATGATCACCACAGTAAGTCTAGTTAACAGCCGTTGCCATAAAGATTATTTTTCTTGGCATGAGAACTTTTAATTGACTCTCTTAGCAATTTTCAAATATGTAGTTTTTGTTGATTTCTCCCTTTAGGTCTGTTAATATTTGCTCTGTATAGGTAGGTGTTCCTGTGTTAGGTGGGTGAATATTTTATTGTGTTGTCGGGTTGACCTCTTTATAATGACCTTCTTTGTCTCTTATTATAGTCTTTGTTTTAAAGTCTATTTTGTCTGGTATAAGTATAGCTACCCCAGCTTTCTTTTGTTTTCCATTTTTGTGGAATATCTTTTTCATCCCTTTACTTTCAGTGCATGTGTGTCCATGTAGAAGGGTCTCATTTATTGTTTTTAAAATCCATTCAGCCACTCTGTCTTTTGATANCCATGTAGAAGGGTCTCATTTATTGTTTTTAAAATCCATTCAGCCACTCTATGTCTTTTGATTGGAGAATTGAATTCATTTACATTTAAAGTTATTGATAGGTACATGCTGATTGCCATTTTGCTAATTGTTTTCTGGCTGTTTTGTATTTCCTCTGTTCCTTTCTTCTCTTGCCCTATTCCTGTGTGATTTGATGGTTTTCTGTAGTGTTATGTTTAGATTCCTTTTTGTACTACTATAGGTCTTTGTTTTGTTATCATGAGGCTTACATAAAACATCTCATAACAGTCTATTTTTAAGTCAATAACAATTTAAGTTTGATTTACATTCCAATGCTCTACATTTTTACTCTTCCCTCCATGGTTTATTTTTTGGATGTTAAAACTCATATCTTTTTATCTTGCGTTCCCTTAACAAAGAATTGTAGTTATAGTTATTTTTACTACTTTTGTCTTTTAGCTTTCATATTAGCTTTAGAAGTAATTATAACATTAGATTATTTACATTAGATTATTCTGAATTTTACTTTATATTTACATTTATCAGTGAAATTTATAATCAGTTATATATATAATTTATTTTAGAGAGAGGACAGGAGAGCAAGAGAGAGAATGAGAGAGAGACATCAATGTGAGGGAGAAACATTCATTGGTTGCCTCGCGCACATGCCCTGACTGGGGATCAAACCCGCCACCTTTTGGTGTACAGAACGATGCTCCAACCAACTCAGCCACACCAGCCAGGTCTATATACTTTCATGTTACTGATCAGTACCTTCTCATTTAAGCTTAGAGTATCCCTTTAACATTTCTTGTAAAGATGGTTTAGTAATGATGAACTCCTTTAGCTTTTGCTTCTCTGGAACACTTTATCTCCAATTCTGAATGACAGCAGTGTTGAGTAGAGTGTTCTTGTTTGGAAGTTTTATTCTTTCAGCACTTTTAATATATTGTACCACAATATATACCACAATAACTTCTGCAAAGTTTCAGTTGAGAAAACTGATAGTGTTAGAGGGTTTCTCTTGTATGTAACAAGTTGTTTTTCTCTTGCTGCTTTTAAGATTCTTTGTCTTCTGTCTTTAACTTTTGACACCTTAGTTATAATGTGTCATGGTGTGAGCCTCTTTGTGTTCCTTTTTCTTAACCTCTTTGGGTTTCCTGAATCTGGATGTCTATTTCCTACTCCAGGTTAGGGACGTTTTCAGCCATTATTTCTTCAGATAAATTTCCAGTCCCTTTCTCTCTTTCTTCTCCTTCTTTGACTCCTATAATGTGAATGTTTGTCCACTTGATGCTGTCCCATAAGTCCCTTACACTGTCCTCACTTTTTTATTCTTTTTCCTTTTTGCAGCTCTGGTTGGGTGAGTTCTACTCCCCTGCCTTGTCTTTGAGTTCACTGATCCTTCTGTTTCATCTAGTCTGCTTTTGGACCTCTGTAGTATATTTTTTAGTTTAGTTACTGTATTCTTAAGGTCTGTGACTTCTATTTGGTACTTTCTTATATTTTTTTATGTCTTTTTTAAAGGTTTCACTGTGTTCATCCATTGTTTTCCCAAGTTTGGTGAGCATTTTTATTACCATTATCTTGAACTGCCTATCAGTTAAATCACTTACCTCCTTTTCATTGAGGTCTTCTTTTGATATTTATTTTGTTTTCATTTGAGACATATTCCTTTGTTTCTTCATTTTTCCTTTACTCTCTGTGTTGGTTTCTATGCATTAAATTAAATAGCCACCTCTCCCAATCTGAAGGAGTGGCCTCATGAGGAGATGAACTTTGTTGCGTAACCTTGCCCTAGCTCTTAGTTATTTCTCAATTCCATGATATTCCAAGAAGGCTCTTTTATTTTTAGTGGCTCCTAGAATTTGATGTTGTACCAAGAGCTGTCAGTGTCCCAAAGGGGAAGATCTCAGTCAACACCTAGATTCAGGTTGATTGGAAAACAGACCATCAGCCAGCAGCTTTTTAAGTATGTAAATATATACAGTCCTGTGGGACTGTGAGTGTAAGCCCCACTTTTCAGTAGAGCCAGGTGATCTGGAGGTGTCCCCTGGTTAGCTGCTGCAAAAACCAGGGCACTAGATGAGGGTCCAAGCTCCTTTCCAGAAGACATTGGCAAGCTAGAGCAAGACAAAGGGAGAGTGTAAAGATGGTGCTAGCTGGCTTCAGTCCCTAGAGAGTATTTCAGCAAACCTCTAGATGTATGTTAAATTAGATGTGTGCCCCTCAGACTGTTTTAAAATAAGCAAATAAGCTTCTTTCACAGAAAATTTGTGTTCTTTTCAGAGGGTTGCCTCCATGCTGAGCCCTGGGGAAGATGAGTTTGCATGTATGAGCCCTTTAAGAACTTTTTCTCAGTTTGTTATAGCCTGTGGGTTTCATGGACTCAAACACCATTGATTTTCAAAGCTATATATTTGGGAGGCTTGTCTCTCAGGTGCAGGTCTTAAAAGTTGGGATGCCAGATCTGGGGGTTCAAACCCTTTACTCCTCAAGGAGAAATTTGGGGTTTGAGTTCCTTCCTGATTGTGGGTTGCCATGTTAGTGGTAGGATTTATGGTGAGATTATGTCTCAACATCTCCTGCCTGCTTCAATGTGGGTTTTTCTTGTTCACCTAATCTGTAGGAATCATTCAGCTAGATTTGGGTTTTTTTCCCCAGAAGAAATTGTACTATGGAAGATCAGTGTGACTGTGGGAGGAGGTGAGTTTAGGATATTCCTACCTTGCCATCTTGAACCAGAACTCCTTGTTAGGTTTTGATGTGAACTTTTGCTTAATCAGGAGGATTGATCTTTTGCATATCATGTAATAAGAGTTGAGAGCTTGAGTTCTAATCCCAATTCTTCCTTTTCATGTGTCATTGTCTTAACTATATAGGACACAAAGCTTCTTTGTGCCTCAGAATGCTTTATTTTATTTATTTTGAACAGTTGAAAAATTTCCTAGGATAATAACACCTCCTTAACCATATTTTTCCAGAAGTTCTGAGTCGCTGTAGACTTCTTGTTACTTCTTTATCTCTGAGCTCCTTGAGGATGAAAGGAATCACTAGGAATAGGGTCTCTTTGGGAGTTTTCAACAGTTCTATCTATTGGTCTTATCTTGTGGACATGATCATAGCCTTGTATAGACTCCTGTGGTCTGTCTCACTGAGTATAGGATTTCCTACTTATATACAAGAGCAAGAAGTCTTTCTCTATCATAGACAATAGGCAGGGCAAAGAAATTTGTGACAAAAAGACATAAAACACTATGGTATGGTCAATAGGGGTCAAATTAATATGTCAGAGATGTGAGGGAGCATGTATCAGGCTGGTTTCCTTTTGGCTTTGAGTTGTATATAAAATCATTTTATACATGCTAAAGTGCTCTGCAAATATAGTTTCCAAAGACTTACCCATTTTATGAGAAGACATTTCATGGGTGAAGATGAGAAATAAAAGTAGAATCAATCAATTAATAAAGAGCACCTCCTCCATCTTACTTCATGAATTGGCCTGACACTATAGGTTTGCCTCCATTCAGAATTGTATGTATTTCCACATTTCACAAGGTGAAAAAAATATTTTGGAGAAAATTGGACTTTGCATGCTGTTAAGCCACAGTTCCTCAACCATGTGGAACTGTGGGAAGCGGTGGGGATGGCGAGAGCCTGCAGTTGGGAACTCACTGAAGACTCACCCTGAGAGTTTCAGTCCCTGAGTAAAGCAGGGATAGAAGTTACAGGGGGTCTGACTTGGGACAGAGGAAGCAAAGGCTGTGCCGACTCCAGGGAAGAAGTGGCTGAAAGGAGGGAAGTGGTCAGCTAGAGCTGATTCTGGAGGGAGGTGGTAGGCAGAGAAACTGGAAACCATGAAATGATCCTTCAAAAGAGGACAGAAATGAAGCCTAACTTCCAGTTTATCATGTGCTGTTTCTGAGCTTTAAATTTTCCTTAATTTTTTAAAAAAAAGATTACTGGTTTTAGAAGTCATGTGGCTTTTGGCTTGCATTTCAGATATTGTCTGACCAGACAAAAATCTCCTCACAACCTCTTGATAAGTTTGAAAAGGAAGACACTGAGATTCCTATAATCCACGAAAGAGAGACAGGTATATTGGGAAATAACAATTTTATTACTCTGAATTCCCCATAAAAATGATAAAACCTTACTCGGAAGAGGTCACTGAAAACCTATGATTACATAAGAATAATAAATGAATTATTGTGCCTTTGGAGAAAGAAAACCTGCTAAGAGCCTTAAATTATTTTCCCCACCTGATACAGTCTCTTTTCTGGGTGAATTGGAAATGACAGAGGAGAAAAAATGATATGGGTGGCAGGTGGCAGGAGATGGGGCCTGTCTACCTACAAAGCCAGCCCGCACAGATAGATCATGTACCCCTTATGAGTTGCAGCCCAAGGCTGTTTTCTATATAGTTCTTTAGATTTCCAGTTTGAGTTTTGAGACTTGACCTAATTTACTGGCTCTTTCCAAAAGATGGTGATGCCCCTGCACTGAGGGTCCCACGAAGAGCACTTGGGGAGTGTGCCACTGTTGTGCATGGATATTGTCATCACTTTTATGTGCTCTTTCCTTAATGCAATAGACCAGGCAGAGGAATCCACTGAGCTGGCAGAGTCAGCACCTGCTGAAGTTGATGACTGCCTAATAACTCTCCCCTTAAACGACCAGCCTGAGCTTGCTGTGAGTATGGAGAGCTGGGGACAAGATTCTGAACTGTGTCCACCAGGATGCCGATAGGTGGAAGCCACCTCTCCTGGCTTGTAGTCCATTTTCTCCAGGCCAACCATTTGTCTCTTTGTTGACCATTCCCTCCTTTAGATTATTTTTGCCTGCCATATTTATGGGATCTCTTCTTTCTCTCAACTTGGCTCTCCCATGAAATGTGTGACTTGGTGGGCTCTGCCTCCTTCCCTTGTTTGGGACCTGGTGACTGAGATACAGGGAAAGGAGCCTAATCTTTGGAGATAGACCTGTTTTTTTTTTTTTTTTTTACTACCTGTGGGAACTTGGGCAAATACTTAACACCACTGAGCCTGAAGATTCCCATCTATAAAACAGAGGTAATAGCTGGTTCTCAATGTGGACATCTAGGATTAAAAACAGAATGTGTGTACAGCAGCTACACTGCTTAGCACGTGTAGGTATTTTGTNTGGTTCTCAATGTGGACATCTAGGATTAAAAACAGAATGTGTGTACAGCAGCCAACACACTGCTTAGCATGTGTAGGTATTCTGCCCCTTTGACCTTTGTTTATATTTGATTACCTAGATGCATCATATAGAAGTGTGATGATAGTGTAATCCTTTTTTAAAAAAACAAACACACCAAAGATTATTCCTCTGGGTAGTTGGAGTCCGCAAGAAGTTCTCTGCTTATCCCAACAATTCTGAAACTATTAAAGACATTTTTGTAAGTTTTCCTTTGATGTTTCCCTTTGTAACTTTGGAACACTCTGGTTGTCTTTAATAGTGACAAATTTTCTCCTAAGGGTGAATATCAATTCATTGGAANTTGATGTTTCCTTTTGTAACTTTGGAACACTCTGGTTGTCTTTAATAGTGACAACTTTTCTCCTAAGGGTGAATATCAATTTATTGGAGCAGCTAACAGTCATTTGGAGGCAACTCCAATAAACAAAGAGCCTAGTGTCTTAGTACTCAGTGGGAATACTTTCTTTGGAGATGTAGAGTGGCTCCAAAAGAATGCTAAAAGAGCTTCAAAGGCACCATAGTTCAATAAGTATTTTTTTCTGCAGCAAACAAAGGTAGCTGATGGTTCACCTGAAAAATTGAAACTGGGTGACATGCAACAAGGTAAAATTTTAAAAATCTATCATAAATAAGGCTTGAATGGTGTATTTAAATTTAAATATTTACTCCAGAAACTTAACATTTTTTGTTTTTAATTTCCACCATTAGAAGTTACTTCAGAACATGAGCCTTCTTCAGATTTACAAGAACAGTCAGTAAAAATTCTGGTTCCTAAGTTAAAAGACAAATCCAGGTAAGTGATTTTCAAAACTCATCAACCATTTTAGATTGCTGTTAATGTGACTAGTTAATGTATAAGTCAGCTGTCTAGGGTATCCCCCTTACCTGTATCTGGACATTCCCCGCACAAAGAGAGAGCATTGTGTGCAGTTTAGTGATTTGAGCAGTGGTGAAATGTTCTCCTAGCCTGTAGGTCTCTAATATTATACCCCCAGCATTATCTTTGGTGATGTATTTTTCTGCAGCAAAACATTGAATATGCCTAGCCAGAAAACCTATATCACTGGCATGAATTTATTTGCCACTTTTCCCAGTAGGCCTCTGAAGAACAGGTCATAAGACAAGTGAATTTTTTTTACAGCTTTGAGATACAGTATAATTAAAATGAAATAAACTGTACATATTTTAAGTGTATACTTTAATGAGTTTTGGTATATGTCTACACCTAGGAACCATGACTGCAAGCAGATAGTGACCATACCCATCATCACCAAGAATGTCTTCCTGCCCCTTGGAAATCCCACCCTCCTGCCCTTCTTCATCCCCCCTCCCACCCTCACCGCAATCACTGATCTGCTTTCTGCCACTATAGATACATTTATAGTTTTAATAATCTTATATAAATGCGATCAAACAGTATGCACTCTTTTTTTCTAGCTTCTTTATTGTAATTATTTTGAGATTCATCCATGTTGTGTATATCAGCAGTTCATTCTTTTATATTGCCTGGTAGTATTCCATTGTGTGCATGGATATACCACCAGTTGTTTATCCATTCACCTGCTGATTGACATTTGAGTTGTTTCCAGTTTTTTTGTTATTACAAGTAAAGTCCTTAGGGTACATACATAAGTCTTTGCATGGACATGTGTTTTCTTTTCTCTTGGGTAAATACATAGGAGTAGAATGGTTGGATCATGTTGATTATGTTAATTTTTTAAAAAAACTGTTAAACTGTTTTCCAAAGTGCTTTAAACATTTTACATTCTCAACAACAACCTTTGAGAGTTCTTGATGCTAGACATTCTTGCCAATATTTGATAATGTCTTCTTTATCTTAGCCATTGCAGTGGAAGTGTAGTGGTATTTCACGTGGTTTTAATTTGCATTTCCCTAATGACTAATGGTGTTGTGCATCTTTTCATATGTTTATTTTCCATTTATATATCTTGTTTGGTAAAGTATGTTCAAATCTTTTGCTCATTTAAAAAAATGGTTTATTTTTTTCTTATTAAGTTATATATATCCTACATGTAGTTTTTTTTTATATATTCTACATATAGTTTTTTAAATCAGATATATGTCTGCATATACTTTCTCCTTGTCTGTGACTTATTTTTATAACAATGTCTTTTAAAGAGCAAAAGTTTTAAATTTTTATAAAGTCCAATTTATTGATTTTTATATACTTTATGCATTTAAAAAAATGTTTTTATTGATTTTAGAAAGAGAGGAAGGGAGAGGGAGAGAAAGGGAGAGAGAGAGAGAGAGAGAAGCATTGATGTGAGAGGGAAACGTAGATCAGCTGCCTCTGAGCCCCAAATCCAGGCATGTGCCCTGACTAGGAATCAAACAGGCAGCCTTTTGTGCACAGGACAACTGTCAACCAACTGAGCCGCACCAGCCAGAGCATATTTTTATGCAGTTAAAGACATGCTTAAGAAATCTTAGGCAAACTCATGATTGGTAGTATTTTTTCTTATGTTTTCTTCTGGAGTTTTTATAGTTTTAGATCTTATTTCAGTTTTTGAGTAATTTTATGTTAATTTTTATATATTGTGTGAGGTAAGGGTTGACGCTCTTTTTCCTTCTTTCTTCCCTCCTTTCCTCTCTTCCTTCCTCTTTTCTTTCTTTCATATGGCTGTCCAATTGTTCCAGACCATTTATTGAAATAATTATTCTTTCCCCCATTTAATTTCCTTGGAAATTCTGTTGAAAAGATCAATTGACCGTATATGTGTGTGTCTATTTCTGGATTCTATATTCTGTTCCAATAATCTATTTGTCTGTCTTTCCATACTGTCTGAATTACCACAGCTCTACTGACATAACTACTGTATCTCATTCTGAAATGAGGTAGTGTTAGTCTTCCAACTTTGTTGGTTTTTTCAAAGTTGTTTTGACTATACTAGGCCCTTTGAATTTCCAGATAAATTTCAGAATCAACTTTACAAAAAATGTCTGTAGGAATTTTGACTGGGATTGTATTGACTTTATAGATCCATTTAGGAAAACCCAGCATCATATATATAATATATCTCTTCATTTATTTAAGACTTTTTTCTTTTTTTTTTTTTAAATATATCTTTATTGATTTCAGAGAGAGGAAAGGATAGGGAGAGAGAGATAGAAACATCAATGATGAGAGAGCCATTGATCGAGCCCGCAACCCGGGCATGTGCCCTGACCGGGAATCGAACCCTGATCTCCTGGATCCTAGGTCCATGCTCAACTGCTGAGCCACTCCCGGCCGGGCAAGCCTTTTTTTATCAGTAATGTTTCATAGTTTTCAATGTGTAAATTTGCATATATTTTGCCAAATTTATCCCTTAGTATTTCATATTCTTTGCTATTATAAATTTTTAAAATTTCAATTTGATTATTCTATAGAAATACAGTTGATTTGTGTATATTGATATTATATCCTTCTTGAACCCACTTAATTTGTTTCATACTTCATTTGATAGAATTTTAGTTGCTGTGCACATTTTAAATACTTAATTTCCAGGAAAGTACAAGAAGTAAACAGCTTGTTTTCTTCACTCCTTTAGAAAGTACATCCCCAGAAACAGTTGTGAATGTGACTGGGAAAACTGTACTTCTGAGTGATGTGATTTATCTAAGTAAAATATTCAGTAGAACCTACAAAAAGACTACTAGAACTAATAAGTACATTTTTAAATGTATAATTATAGTTTTAAAAATTGTAGTAAAATACAAATAATGTAAAATATATCATCTTAACCATTTTTAATTTTTTTATTTTCAATTACAGTGAACGTAGAATATTATATTAGTTTCAAGTGTACAGCATAGTGGTTCGACATTTATATAACTTACAAGACTGAGATAGGTCTTGCACACCCACCTGACACCATGTATAGTTATTACAATATTATTGACTATATTCCCTAAGCTGTACTTTCCATCCCCATGACTATTTTGTATCTGACATTTTGTACTTCTTAATCCCTTCATCTTTCTCACCCAGCCCTTCAGCCCCGCTCCAGCTGGCAACCATCAGTTTGTTCTCTGTATCTATGAATTTGTTTTTGTTTTTTAGATTCCACATATAAACGAAATCATATGGTAGTTGTCTTTCTCTGTCTGACTTATTTGACTTGTCACAATACCCTCTGTGTCCATCCATGCTGTGCCAAACGGCAAGATTTCATTCTTTATTAAGGCTGAGTGATATTACGTTGTATATATGTACCACTTCTTTTTTATCCAGTTGTCTGTTGACAGACACTTAAGTTTCTTCCATATTTGACCATTGTAAATAATGCTTCACTGAACATAGGGATGCATATATCTTTTTGAATTAATTATTTTGTATTTCTTCAGATAAATACCCAGAAGTGGGATTGCTGGGCCGTATGATAGTTCTATTTTTAATATTTTTGAGGAACCTCTATACTGTTTTCCATAGTGGCTGCACCAATTTACAATCCCACCAATAGTACACAAGGTTCCTTTTTTTCCACATCATCACCAACACTTGTTTGTTGATTTTTTTTTAATTTTTATGATAGCCATTCTGACAGGTGTGAGGTGATATCTAATTGTTGTTTTAAATTGCATTTCTCTGATGATTAGTGACATTGAGCATTTTTTCTTATGTCTGTTGGCCATCTGTATGTCCTCTTTGGAGAAATGCCTATTCAGGAAGACAATATTTTTAAGATGCCAATTTTTCCCAAATTATCTATAGATTCCATAAAAACCCAACTCAAATCCCAGCAGAGTTTTTCATTTGTTTGTTTTTATGTTTTTTATTTTAGAAATTGGCAGGCTATTTCTAAATTTCAAGGTCNGTTTTTTATTTTAGAAATTGGCAGGCTATTTCTAAATTTCAATAATTGCCAAAACAGATTTCAAAAAGAAATACAAAGTGGGAGGGCTAACACACTATCTGTTTTCAAGACTTATTATAAAGCTACAGTATCAGGAGAATACGGTATTAGTTTAAAGATAGATAAACAAATGGAACAGACTAGGAGGTCCAGAGATAGACCTACCCATATATGAACAACCAACTGGTCAGTAACAAAAATGCAAAGACAATTCAGTGGCAAAAGGATAGGCTTTTTTCAAAAGATGATGCTAGAACAACTGAATATCCATATATGCAATAAAATAAATGATTTTTGATCTTTACCTTCCACCATATAAAAAAATTAACTAAAGAAAATGATCCTAGACCTAAGTATAAAACTTATTTGAAAGAAAACATAAGGAAAAATACTTGCAACCTTGGGTTAAGCAAAGATTTCTTAGATATGACACCAAAGGTACAGTCCATAAAACCAACAAATTGATAAATTGGACTTAATTAAGATTGTTTCCATATCTTGGCTATTGTAAGTAATGCTGCAATGAACATGAGAGTGAAATCTCTTTAAGATCCTGATTTCAGTTCCACTGGATATATGGGATTGCTGGATCATGTAACAGTTCTATTTTTAATTGTTTTAAAGAAGTGCCATACAGTTTTCTATAATGGCTACACCGTTTTACATTTCCATCAAACGTGCAAGGAAGGGTTCCAGCTTCTCCACATCTTCAGCAACACTTAGATATTTTTAATACTAGCAAACCATAAAATAGGGGTTAATATTCAAAATACATGAGGAACTCCCATAATTTAGTAGAAAAAAAAATCACCTGGTTAAAAAATAAAGGGTTTGAATAGACACTTCTCCAAAGAAGATATGCGGATGGCCAACAGGCATATGAAAAGATGGTCACCATCATTAATTGGGGAAAGCTTTTTCAGCACCCCAGATTCTAAGGCAGAGCCAGAGAGAAAGCCCTCTCTGCAGCTTTGCCAGAGTCTGTTGCTTATTTCCTGGTCCTACCCTAACTTCCTCTTTGTCTGCCCGACAGAGAGGGGTCCACAAAGGCTTGTTTTGTTTTAAAAACCAGTTATCAGGCAGCGACTCTATGGAAATGGGCTGCAAGGTGGGTTTGTCTATAGGATGTGGTGCTCCCCATGCCTGAGGCTCGCATCAGGCAAAAATGTTAGGGCTGTGAAGCGAGGGAAGGAGCAGATGATGGTCGTACAGTTCCATTGACCCGATATATTTTGTTGTAGGAAAGAGTCTACTTTCAGAGGTGACAGAAAGCCAGAAACAAGGATGCTGGTAATGAAGTAACTTTTATTGTCTGGAGGCATTGCTTCCCAGGTTTTAGTTATTTGCCTACCATCTTCTAAATTTCTCATGGCTCTGCGCTTTATCTCTATATTTCTCCATCCAGTTGATCTTAAACTTACTTTAAAGGGAATTATTTCACTTTCAAATGGAAAATCATCATGAGTTGTTACAAACAGTAGGTAAGCCCCCAGGTAGATACAGTGGAAAATAACAGAGTTATCATATGGAACTGTACCTTTACTTGTATTAGGCCTGTTCTCGCTTTTTGAAAAAAGATTAGTAAGTAGAAGATAAGTGTTCAAGACCTACTAACACTGGAAATTTAGCCTGAATAGGAGCAGATGTGGTAATGAATTGAAATGTTTTGCTCTGAGTCAGGGACGTGGTGTTGTTTCTCTGGGCACCAGCTTCCACCTCTCCAGCTTGCCTCCCACCTTGGGAAGGTCAGTGCTCTAAATCTGTAGTCAGAGCATTTAAAAAAATCTCTATAATGAACATTAAATGAAGTCTTCAAAAAATTGGAGATCATGAGCTTCAAGCAAATGAGTTCTGGCTCTTTCTGGCTTGCTTGTAGCCGTGGTCCTCACTCCCCACTGCGCGTCTTCTAGCTGGGATCCCCAGGGGAGCTGATGAAAAGACAAGCCCGGATCCCTTCCCAGATGACTCTGACTTAGCTGGTCCAGGGTGGAGCCCAGGCATGAGGATTTGTTTTAAAGCCCCTCCTGGTGATTCTAATATGAGCCAACTTTAAAAACAACTGCTCTGGGTACTTGTGTTTTTGTAAATAACTTTCAGCACTTTTTAATATAAAACTAAAGAAACTGGGAAGGCCTTGCTGTGTGTGTGGTTGTTCTTTTAAATTGGGCGCATTCAGTGGAGTGATGTGTGGTTTTTACAAGACACTGGCTGAGCAGGTCTGGAACAAATGTGGGGCTTCCACCGACCTTTTTATTTTTATCCTAAGAGGAAAGTGCAGATAGGCCTGGCTCACAGAGTTCCTTTCAAAAATGAGCTTCTTGCCCAGTTGGTGTAGCTCAGTGGTTGAGCATTGACCTATGATCCAGGCAATCGCGGTTCGATTCCTGGTCAGGGCACATGCCCAGGTTGCGGGCTTGATCCCCAGTAGCATGCAGGAGGCAGCCAATCAATGACTCATCATTGATGTTTCTATCTCTCTCGCTCTCCCTTCCTCTCTCTGAAATCAATATA